CACCCCCCCCTGCCACAAGCGGAAAGCGCTGCTGCTGCTGCTGTGGCTGCTGCTGCTGCGGTTGCTGCAGCGGCAGCAGCAGCCCAAGCATCTGGTAGCTGTGGGGCGCAGCAGCGTCAGTCAGCAGCGGCTGCAGCAGCAGCGGGGACAAATCTACAAGGGTTTCCCCTAGGCATTCTCCCTGTGGAGCCTCCCCGCTGCTGCTGCCGCTGCTGCACACCTGCAGCAGCAGCGGCGCTGCAGCAAGGGACTGCTGCAGCTGTTCCGTGGTGGCTCTCAAGGTGTACTCGCAGAGGCCGTCTGGCAGCTCAACCTGCAGCAGCAGCAGCAGCAGTAGCAGCAGCAGCAGCTGAGATACATTGCGTTGCTGCTCCATTTGCAGCATGGGACAACAGTGAGGCCAAAATGCAGCAGCAGCAGCAGCAGCAGTAACACACCGGGTTCCCCTTGCTGCAGTCGACTGGGGGAGAAGAAGTGAAAAGATGCTTGCTGCCGAAAGGCGAGTATTTATAGTGTACGTACACCTGCTGCAGCAGCTGCTGCAGTGCTGCTGCTGCTGCTGCATCTGCTACCCCTGCAGCACGCAGCTGCACAGATACGCAGTCGATGTAAAGGCGCCAATGCTGCTGCTGCTGCTGCTGCTGGTGCGCTTGCTGCTGCTGCTGATGCGCTTCTCGCTGCTGCTGGGGCGCCGGTGCTGGTTGTTGCAGCTGTTGCTGCAGCTGCAGCAGCTGCTGCTGTTGCTGCAGTGGCTGTGGTGAAGCAGCAGGAGTGCCTAAACTCTCCGCTGTTGTTTGCTGCTGCTGGTAATCCTGCAGCGGTAGCATCGCAAACTGCTGCTGCAGCGCATCTGCCTGGTGGTCATTGTTGCTGTTGCTGCTGCTGTTGCTGTTGCTGTTGCTGCTGCTGCTGCTGTGGCCTCTCAGGGCCTCTGCAGCCGCATGCGCACAGCAGTGATATCCCCAGCTTCCTCAAGCAGCAGCAGCCGCAGCAGCAGCAGCAGGACAGTGGCACAAGAGCAGCAGGAGCTGCAGGAGTACGAGCAGCAGCAGCAGCAGCAGCAGCAGAAGCCTACCCTCCAAAGGCAAGGGGGTGTCTATACACTCCAGTTGGGCTATCAAGGCCTCACGCTGCAGCCCTTGCTGCGCATACACTGCAGCAGATATCACTTGCTGCTGCTGCTGCTGCTGCTGCTGCGGTTCTAGGTGGAGCTGCCGCTGCACGGCAGCAACTAAGGGGGACAAATCCACAGGCAGCGCCATCCCCTGTTGCTGCTGCTGTTGCTGCTGCTGCGGCTGCTGTGGGGGCTCGGCCAGCAGCAGCGGCTGCATCAGCTGCAGCTGCAGCAGCGCCTCCTGCAGGTCTTGAGCAAACAAAAGGGAAAACCTGCTGCTGCTGCTGCTGCTGCTGCTGCTGCGGCATATCCGAGCAGCGGACCCTATGCATACAACGAGGGGCTGATAGCCTGCAACAGCAGCAGCAGCAGCAGCAGCAGCAGATACCTCAGCATTAGACACTGTAAGCTAAACCCTAAAGCCTATATCCTAAACCCCAAACCCTAAACCCTAAACCCTCAGGGAATCTCTGTGGAGGTACTTACTTCCTTCTGGTGGGCCTTGGCGCTGAAATGACAGAAAGAAACACCTTTTGCTGCAGCTGGTCTGCT